GATATGAATCATAGTATAAAGGATGTGAATCACAGTTTAAAAGATCTGGTCTATTATGTAAGGGATGTGCACCAAATATTCTGTATACTAATCTTTTTAAAGTATTTGGAATAAATGTCAAAGATATTAACTATTTTTCACAATATCCTAACCAAGATATAAAACCATCAATACAATAATTAAAGGACCACAATGGTTCTGATAAAAGATAACAATGATTCTAACAATATGGATCACCTGGACAGTATTATTCATGATGTTACATTCTAATCCTATACGAAAATATTTTAACAACAATTTAGTCAATGTACTTAAAATAATGCATATTTTCCAACTTATGTATTCAATGGTTCATAACCTATAGGAACGCATTCACAATATCGAGGGAAAACACCATTTTATAATTGTGACAAAATCAGTTCGGATTAAAATCACACATAAGACTGACCTAATAAAAATAATACGCTAGATCAGGAGTCATACGAGTATCTGAGTAAAAACTATCCATAACTTACTCAAAATATGGCAGGATCAGGAAAGACATACTATACTCCGTTCATGTGAGATTTGCAACCAGAGACTAAAGCAGATTTTATCAATGCAGCTGATTGGACATCGGAATGAGGTGTGTGTGTGTATGGAGGCATGATGGAGGTGCGATGAGTGGTTTATGTTGGTAATATGTGGTGGTGTGGTGGTGATGTATGGAGTTGATGTTCATGTAGTGTTGTGGTGGTGACGCTGAGATGATGGTATGTACCACACTTGCTCCAGTAGTGGCGGCAGGAGAGGTTTGAGATGTAGTGCTGGTAGTATGGCAGCAGTCACCATAGAGTAATGTGGTTGTTCGGTTGTACTGGAGGCGTTGAGGTGATGTGTCCTGGTGTTAGCGTTGGAGGGAAGGTGTAAGGTGAGCTGTAGTCCCGTTGCTGTCCTCCGGCCTACGCCTAGTCCCTGAAGCCGACGCCCACTACCCAGCCCAACCCACGCCCGCGTCTACTGCCACGACTCACCAGGCTTTGTATTATCGCTCGCGCTGTTGTCTAGTTATTGTTATATTACGGCCTACATTATGTTTCCCAAATGATGGTGACTATTTTGAGAGATCAATTAGCACACAAGGTGCGAGGGGCCTATAATGATACAAGGGGCGCGTGCACCACCTCCAAAAGCTGGTTGTCGCGGTGCCACTTGGTGGCCTCCACAACTTATTCCAGTTTCAGTTTGTTAATACGACTTTCATAAAGTACAGTATTTATAAATATATAAATATTTTGGGATCCTTAACTGAAAATAATGTTCTTTGTATAATAAAGACAAGTAAGATATTAATCAATACAATAATTAAAAAATACCGAAAAAATATAAATAATATAAATTATATATATATATATATATATATATATATATATATATATATATATATATATATATATATATATATATATATATATATATATATATATATATATATATATATATATATATATATATATATATATATATATATGCTGATAACCACAAGGAAAAAACACGAAGTTCCCAATCACTTTCGTGTAATTCACATCTTCAGGGGTGAGTACAGACTAAAATAGAAGTGCAGAACAAGTTATATATATATACAGAGGAGGGTTAGAACAAGTCCACAGAGGTCAAGTATAGGTAATGACCCTACTAATACTAAGGCATGTCTGGAGAAATTTCAAGCGTATTTTTAATTTGTGGGCCTAGATCATCGAAGAGGAGTATTCAGTAACGAAGGGAGACAGTCCAGGACAGCTTGTAGAGAAGCAGAAGAAGTGGCGCGTGGAATCCATTATGCAATAAAATCACTGTAGTTCCCAAGTGCTTTCGTGTAATTCACACGTGTAATTACACGAAAGCGCTTGGGAACTCTTCTTTTTCCTTGTGGTTGGCATATACCTGGATCACGCGCACCTACAGTGAATTTATTGCATATATATATATATATATATATATATATATATATATATATATATATATATATATATATATATATATATATATATATATATATATATATATATATATATTTCTAGTGATCATATTGAGATGCATTTGGCAAATACTAGGGTCATACAGAGAGTTGTAGTGACGTCATGTATCTGCATACGTTTTAGACATGCTTCCCTCATGCTTGTAGTGGGCCAACTACAGAAGTACAATTACCTAATTATGTACAGCAGTTGGAACAGGTTACAAAAGATTGTAATAAAGTGAAAATCAGTCTTTAAGGTGTATACAAAAGATCATTCCTCTTGCCGCCTAAACAACTGTCCTACTGTGGCCTGTAAAATTATCTTATTACGTCACATTACAACGAGAATTTTTTATATGTTTCTGCGATACAAACACTGAGGGAATGAACTAGCTTCGATGAATATAACTACTATGTGACGGGATACATGACCTGTTGTCGCCAGTCCCAGGGCAATTAATTTCTTTAGTTATATGAACAAATACAACACCTTCATAATGCCTGGTTAAATTACTATACATATACACCTTCAGATATTTATAGCTGGTCACATACAGTAACTTACAGTACGTCTGTTCTAGAAGAAATTTGTTGAATCTTTCCTTACTTGTTCCAGGTTTAGGTTCCTTTGATACCAAAGATAAACTGCCGACTTGAGTTGTGTTTTACTCAGACTAAACGTTGTAGAGGTGCTAAGTGGCGAAAAGAAGGGATAAGAGAGCTGCTAGCTGGTCTAATGTGTTCAGTTTTAATAGTTCACTTCTTTGGGGAGGTTCCGAGCGAAGGAGCGTGTTTGAGCACTGCGGACGAGGATGCTGGTGGAAATTGTCTTTATACTAACGTTTAATGAAGAGTGTAACTTTGTAATTAAACGTCCCCTCGCATTTTATGAGTATTCAGTCATTATTCGTAACATTATAGTACATGAATTTGTACAGACATACTCGGAAGGTTGATATTTCTTCATTTTAATTATGGAAAACAGCTGCTATATTGTACCTGCTTTCTGCTGCAGGACCTCGAGTGTGCAGTCGACCTTGCGGGAATGTCTTCCATGTATTGTCGGGTGAAAAAAATCCCTGAGACTTCCCCGTATTTTTGTGTTCCCAACAGAAAATGTCACAATTGAGGTGATTTTTTTCTCGTAATTGACGACGCTCGAGTTTAACAAACCAGTCACGTGATCTTTTAGGTCATGTATGCCCCTCTATATGACTTGACCTCTCGCAGTACCAGACGTAATGACCATAAGGCCGCCCGGCCCTGGTCTCTTATCTCACTAACTCAGCACAGCCCTTACTGCAGCTACTAATAACCAGGTGGAACACTGTTAGTGACAGGTTTTATCAACTCACATAATAAGTCTCTTTATATCTGAAGGTAAAACCGCTGCACCCCCCTCGCTTGTCTATCAATTAATAGTAATTTTACAATGTAGTGTACCAGTTGTAGCACTTTGGACGAAACTAACATTAGGTGAATGGTAATCGCTCACAGGCATTACGTGAACGTCTTAGAAAATTGCTCCTCTTCACGTTTTAAGCGTTCCTGTAGCGAAGTACACGCGACTAGTAATGTAAACATCTACAGCTGATCCAAGTGATGGAGAAGGTATCTATTTTTATACATGGTACACATGGTCCACTTTACACAATAGAACTGTATGTTTAGCAACTTTTGTGTCGGTAAACAAGTGCTTTTTAAGATAATTCCTTATCTAGAAAACTGGTAGAACGTGTTCCTTAGTTGTCTCACACACACACACACACACACCACACACACACACACACACACACACGCCTGCACTCACAGACATAACGTATACACACACACATACACGCGAAACACACACACACACACACACACGTAATAAATAATGGTTGTCCCTCGTGTAACGAGGATGGCCGGCCCAAGGGCCACCTTGGCCTGAATTTGTTTAAGGTGTAGCAGCTGTCGCGATCACAACAACCACACCCTAAGTTAACGAGCTGCATGACCCAGTGTCAATGAATAATCCGAGAAGACCGGACAACTCGCCAACTGCACTGGCGAACCATTGCCCTGGAACACGCTCCGCAAATCGATTAACATCGAGGTTCCCAATTACTGCTGGGTAGACAGAGGCAAATGGCGTAAAGAAACTTGCCCATAGTTTCATCCTGCCCAAGCATACACACACACACACACACTAACAAACACAACACACACATACACAACACACTCATAGGGCTTAAACAACACACACACACACAACACACACAGTAACCACTGCAGTACAACACACACACACACACACACAGTAATCATTGCAGTGCAACACACTAATGTTCAATTAACAACATACACCAGCAATATGATGGCACACTACTGAACCTTGGGATAACTATCTGTATGGCATTGATGTCTCCAGCCACCAGTGTGTTGTGCCGCTGGTCTGGGTTGTGTTTGGCACCTGGTAGTGTAATACTGTATATCTTTTGTTTATGAAACTTGGCTCATGTTACTTTTATGAAAATATAACATTCTATAACTCCAACAAATTAAAATTATTTGATCAGATGGTTAAGGCCAGTAACTGTGTTTGAGGATGAAGCAAGACTGTAATGATGGGGTAAAACTACCGTGTAATGAGGGTAATCATGCCACCTGAAAGGCTGCCACCCTCAGGTATGGCGAAACACCCACTCACAGCTGGTGCACCACACCCCATAGGTGGGTAATTCTCCTGCCTTCGTTCATCACCAGCTGGTTCCTTCACAACATGTGTTATATACACTTAGGTCTGTACTATAAAGTGCACAGTTTCTGGTCTTAAAATACTCTATATACAAGGTAAAAGGAAGGTACAAGCCAATAAGCGGTGTGTGGGTCGAGGCTCAAGGACTTCCCCTGCTAGACAGCCTCGCCCAATCACCTCCACTTTGTACATGGACACCTCCTGTTCTCCACTAAGTTAACACTCCCTGCTAGATACAGAGTAAGAAAGCGAGGGGGTACTTACCAATAAGAGTATCACAGCAGCTACGGAATCCATGACTGAAACAGAAGATAAACAATAGATCAGAAGTTTGCGCGAGTGTGAAAGTGAGACCTGTGCTCACTCCTTAAGCAACAAAATCATCGTCTTCAGCACTGATCAAGATATTTCCCATCTTACCTAGTAAATCCACCGGGTTTTTTCGCCAATATGTCGTATAACACTTTATAACAGCATAGACCTAATTCAAACACGATGCGACTTGATAATGCACCACAAATCGCTGGTATTTCACGGAGGATCACTAAACACACTCTCACTCATTCCGCCATCTTGGATTCTCTCCTCTTGGGTTAACATGGCGCCGCCTACACACACGAGAGTGAACGATCAACCAGACGGGTTTCACAAGGTTTGATGAACGGAAACACTTCACCATATCTTCAAGTGATTTAAAAATGATCAAGTGTATAAACATTTTTACACAGTCATATTAATGTTTAGTTGAGTCGAGATTAGAAATAGATACTACTGATTTAATGTGTTAAAAAAAAGTGTAATTTTGACACTAGATACTGTACCTGAGAAAGAAAATTACCCAACCTTGGTAACGTCGTAAGGTGAGAGAGTTGCCACTTTCTGACTTCCTGCCGATTTCACTTTCGTTAAAACTACTGATGGGTCGTATTAAGTCATATATCTTCATAAATTTGTACAAATATGAATTAATACTAATAGATGAACGTCATCGTGTACACTATATCCTTATATCTAAATCCTATATCTTGTCATAAATGCTTCTGATCAATAATTCTTTATATTAATTATTCCACACACTGTTTATATAATGGAAAGTGATTTCTTACAAGATAGAGTTAAGGAATAAGACACACAAACTCCCTATAGTCATATCGCCAGCGAGAACAGGTAACAGCGTCCTCCTGGCACCTGGTATTTTCTGTTTCCTTGAGCCAGAGGTGGGCACTCCCACACACACATGACGTCACACTACAACACTTCTCATTACTCATCTGTTTTACAACTTACAAGACGCTGCCACACTCTATGTTATGTTCTGTGAAATAATGTCGTCTGATGTCGACCACAGGAAGGACGATGGACAGCACACTCAAAGAATTATGTTTTTTAAAGGATAATGTGTGACGTGACTGGTCCGCCCTCACCCTCATCATCACACGTAGGATGACACAAGGACCCGCAAAGGTTAGGTTACACACACACACACACACACACACACATCTGTCCATGACACGCTCACACATGCAAGACACAAAGCGGCCACACAAGACACACAGCGGCCACACAAGACACTCAGCGGCCACACAAGACACACAGCGGCCACACAAGACACACAGCGGCCACACAAGACACTCAGCGGCCACACAAGACACACAGCGGCCACACAAGACACTCAGCGGCCACACAAGGCACAAAGCGGCCACACAAGACACAGGTCCCCACTACCAACTGTCCTCGTGTGGTCAGCCGCAAGTGTAAGTTTTTCCCAGCACCGTCAGCCTTGCATGATTAGGCGCAATTATATGTTACTAAAAAATGCCTAAGATAGTATGAGACGGATTATTTCAGATACTTGTTAAATGAAACTATTGAGATACCTTGATGAGCATATGTTTTTGTTTCATTGACGTCTATGTTTATTACGTAAAAAATAATTGTTTCCAACATCTTTATTAACTCAGAAAGTCGGACGCATAAATTATTTTTTCTCTCGTCCTGTTTGATCAAATTTTACAAATTTTCTGTTAGTCGTTTAATCTCGATATATCACACCTGAATACTTGTGACCCAAGCACAACTCTGCTACTTGTATTGTTGTACAGTACGTTGGTTTAAAAGCTCTGGATATTGCCTTAAGGTAACTGTAAGATGATTTATACGATCTTAAAGGAAGGAAAACATTAAAGTTCACAGTTAATATTACGAAAATAATTTACTGAACGCCTTCTGTAGTCTATTTATATGTTCTTCAAGGATGATAAAACAACAAGCCTGGAAGGAGTATTTTTAAGTTTGATTTATCTTAGCATAAATATAAATACCATCCTGTCATCTGGGGCAATTTCTCATCAACATAGTTCTGTGGTAACCAATATACCGTAAAGTTTAGTGCATGACTGATTTACGGTGACGATTTACCAGTTCTTGTGGCGGAGTGAGGAATCAAGTGGAGGTGAAGAGGAGGACAGGGAGAAGGGATATGAATATAACAAATAGGTTAAGTTTACATGGTAAAGTTGTTTTGACTTCCTCCCTTTTTGTTCGCTCCTGCTCCTTCCCCTTTTATCATTATGTTGTTGTTATTCTTCCTCCTCCTCTTTGCGATACTCCTCCTACTCCTCCTCCTCTTTGTGATACTCCTTCTTCTCCTCCTCCTCCTCCTCTTTGTGATACTCCTCCTGCCCTTCCTCCTCTTTGTGATACTCCTCCTACTCCTCCTCCTCTTTGTGATACTCCTTCTGCTCCTCTTCCTTTGTGATACTCCTCCTGCTCCTCCTCCTCTTTGTGATACTCCTCCTGCTTCTCCTCCTCTTTGTGATACTCCTACTGCTCCTCCTCCTCTTTGTGATACTCCTCCTGCTATTCCTCCTCCTCCCCCTCTCTTCAGCATAGGTAGACACCAGGCAAGTACCACTGTCAACTCGGTTCACCGAGTTGTCTCCTTGACTAAGTCTAAAGATTCTTAAAGCGGGATGAATGGGACTGATGTTGGTTATATAATGCAAGACGAGCACTCTAAGACAGAGAGTTCCACAGGGTACTAGTTCGGGTTGGATAAGCAGTAGTTTTATAAAATGGACCATCGACGGAAAAGGCGTCGGTCCTTCTTTGACAACGCAGGTACAAGTTTCTTCTGAAATTTGTGTTGGTATGATTAAATTAAGGACAATGAGTTTCGATGCTGTGTAATGATGGGATGTACCCTTCTCAGCTCTGCGTGCGAGGTGGTCCACTCAACCTACTTCTTGTTTGTTCTCCTCTTCCTCTTCCTTGTATAATCTTCTTCTTCTATTTTGTCTGATCCTACTGGTCTACCTGCCCTTCCTATTCTTTTACTCTTTTTCCTCTTCCTCCTTCTCCCCTTCTTCATCAACTCGTCTACCTGGAGGTTATCTCTAATATTTATCACATTCTCTTGCCATTGCCTTTCTCTTCTCTTAATATACAAAAGGAGGAAGAAAGAAAGAAATGAGAATAATCGAAACGAAAGTAAAATTAAACATAAGAAGACGTAAATGGTGGGACAAAGGATGAAAGAAAGTCACTATAGAATTAAGCAGTGATGGTTCAATGTAAATGGTAATTACGAACATACACAAACACACACACAAACACAAACACACACACAAACACACACACACACACACACACACACACACACACACAAATAACAAAGTACCTGAGATGACTGAAGGGTGAAATAGTTAGACTCATGTATACTGAAATTTAAGGAATCTCACCATGATGAATATAATACACATAGAAGGAGTAACAAGAGCAAGGAAAAAGGTAAAGAAGGTGTTTACAGCAGCAGTGAAGAACTTTACTGCAGGCAGCTACAGGGAGACTTTCCTGGTTGAGTCTCATCACATAGGACTACTGCTTAATGACGAAGAGAGAGAGAGAGAGAGAGAGAGAGAGAGAGAGAGAGAGAGAGAGAGAGAGAGAGAGAGAGAGAGAGAGAGAGAGAGAGAGCGTGTTTGTGTTTGTATGTGTTCATTTCAGCTGTGAACCTGTAAGCATTAGTGCGTAAACGCGTCATCTTCGCTTTTTGTTTGAATTCGTCATAATATGTGTTTACGCTTGGTTTTCAGGATGGATTTTCCCTTTTGTTTATTGCGTATATATATATATATATATATATATATATATATATATATATATATATATATATATATATATATATATATATATATATATATATATATATATATATATATATATATATATATATATATATATATATATATATATATTTCATTAGATCAGAGGCAACTGAAGATATCTTGAATAAAGACGAAAGCTAAGGTGCTCCGTTGTTTCCCTTTTCCCGTGTGATTTTATCAAGATATATATATATATATATATATATATATATATATATATATATATATATATATATATATATATATATATGTGCGGGCATGTACGGCAGTCACGCACAGACGTAGGCGAGCGTGTACTTGATTGCCCAAAAGTGTTTTGGGCGGTGTGAGTGTGTGCGTGAGGCAGCATAAGAGGAGGTCCGCCAGGGAGGGTAACGTCCTGTGCGCACCAACCATGAAGCGGGTGGAGGCGCCCACGTAATGGTGGTCACAGTCGGAGGAGGACGGGGCGGGAAGGACGGATGGCGGGGAGGGTAATCAACCTGTATTTTGTGAAGCTAAATCGCTTTCCCTCAAGTAGCCTAACAGGACCTTAGAAGTGAAGCTGGTGGGACGTTGAGCTGTGTCGCCACCTTTCTAGTGTACTATCATAACTATAGTTGTCTGGCTGTGTGGGATACAACTTGATGTTTGAGGTACATGACAATGGTAATTTACTATTACGAGTGAGAGAACTACAGGTATGTTAGGGTAAAGGTTAGTACCATCGGCTAGCGAGGATAAAGGGCACTGTTGAGTCTAGTAAATATGTTTTCATTACTTGGCTGGCACTGCACTCGGTCGCCTTATTGTCCCCAACTCTAAAGTTTGGTAACCAATTCACAGCTGGGTGGACCGGACATAAACCAACGACCTATAGTACAGATGGCGAGCGCTGGGCACGGTATGAGAAGTAGTGACTTTTCGCTGTAGCATTTGTTCTTATTTCTCAGTTACTTCTAGTCTTTTAAACCTCTTTCATGTCATTATTACAATAATTTGTGCTTTATAAATGTCATTCTCTATGTTCTCTCGGTGAAATGAATCCCTGCCAGTGTTGACAGAGAGAACGGCCGGACAGTATATGGCGATACAAGCCCGTTTAAGATTTACTGTCCAGCGTTAATCCTCCTCATTAACTTTATTATTTATACAAAATCCCAGTAGGAAGTTCACTATAATGTTCTTGTGTCTCCCAGTTGCCTGCCACCAACGTCATCATAAACACTCTTGACAAAAACAAGCGGAATTGACCTTTCATAAGCCAGTGATGCGGTTGGTCATACCATCTCACTGTTAACTAACTACCCAACTGTGTCTTTGCAGATTCAAGGAATGGGAAACAACACCTTTTCTTTGATGACTCTCAGTCTGGGGCCTCACATATTGTTTATGGTGTTCCACAAAGATTCAGTCTTAGACCATTAC